CAGCCCTCCCCAGGTCTCTCCAGCCCTCCTCAGGTCTCTCCAGCCCTCCCCAGGTCTCTCCAGCCCTCCTCAGGTCTCTACAGCCCTCCCCAGGTCTCTCCAGCCCTCCCCAGGTCTCTCCAGCCCTCCCCAGGTCTCTCCAGCTCTCCCCAGGTCTCTCCAGCCCTCCCAGGTCTCTCCAGCCTCCCCAGGTCTCTCCAGCCCTCCCCAAGGTCTCTCCAGCCCTCCCCAGGTCTCTCCAGCCTCCCACAGGTCTCTCCAGCCCTCCCCAAGTCTCTCCAGCCCTCCCAGGTCTCTCCAGCCTCCCACAGGTCTCTCCAGCCCTCCCCAGGTCTCTCCAGCCTCCCCAGGTCTCTCCAGCCCTCCCCAGGTCTCTCCAGCCCTCCCCAGGTCTCTCCAGCCTCCCCAGGTCTCTCCAGCCCTCCCCAGGTCTCTCCAGCCCTCCCCAGGTCTCTCCAGCCCTCCCCAGGTCTCTCCAGCCCTCCCACAGGTCTCTCCAGCCCTCCCCAGGTCTCTCCAGCCCTCCCCAGGTCTCTCCAGCCCTCTCCAGGTCTCTCCAGCCCTCCCCAGGTCTCTCCAGCCCTCCCGAGGTCTCTCCAGCCTCCCACAGGTCTCTCCAGCCCTCCCCAGGTCTCTCCAGCCCTCCCACAGGTCTCTCCAGCCCTCCCCAGGTCTCTCCAGCCCTCCCCAGGTCTCTCCAGCCCTCCCCAGGTCTCTCCAGCCTCCCCAGGTCTCTCCAGCCCTCCCCAGGTCTCTCCAGCCCTCCCGAGGTCTCTCCAGCCTCCCCAGGTCTCTCCAGCCCTCCCCAGGTCTCTCCAGCCTCCCACAGGTCTCTCCAGCCCTCCCCAGGTCTCTCCAGCCCTCCCCAGGTCTCTCCAGCCCTCCCCAGGTCTCTCCAGCCCTCCCCAGGTCTCTCCAGCCCTCCCCAGGTCTCTCCAGCCCTCCCCAGGTCTCTCCAACCCTCCCCAGGTCTCTCCAGCCCTCCCACAGGTCTCTCCAGCCCTCCCCAGGTCTCTCCAGCCTCCCCAGGTCTCTCCAGCCCTCCCCAGGTCTCTCCAGCCCTCCCCAGGTCTCTCCAGCCTCCCACAGGTCTCTCCAGCCCTCCCCAGGTCTCTCCAGCCCTCCCCAGGTCTCTCCAGCCTCCCACAGGTCTCTCCAGCCCTCCCCAGGTCTCTCCAGCCCTCCCCAGGCTCTCTCCAGCCTCCCCAGGTCTCTCCAGCCCTCCCCAGGTCTCTCCAGCCCTCCCCAGGTCTCTCCAGCCCCTCCCCAGGTCTCTCCAGCCCTCCCCAGGTCTCTCCAGCCTCCCACAGGTCTCTCCAGCCCTCCCCAGGTCTCTCCAGCCCTCCCCAGGTCTCTCCAGCCTCCCACAGGTCTCTCCAGCCCCCCCAGGTCTCTCCAGCCCTCCCCAGGTCTCTCCAGCCCTCCCCAGGTCTCTCCAGCCTCCCACAGGTCTCTCCAGCCCTCCCCAGGTCTCTCCAGCCCTCCCCAGGTCTCTCCAGCCTCCCACAGGTCTCTCCAGCCCTCCCCAGGTCTCTCCAGCCCTCCCCAGGTCTCTCCAGCCCTCCCCAGGTCTCTCCACCCTCCCCAGGTCTCTCCAGCCCTCCCAGGTCTCTCCAGCCCTCCCCAGGTCTCTCCAGCCCTCCCCAGGTCTCCCAGCCTCCCACAGGTCTCTCCAGCCCTCCCAGGTCTCTCCAGCCCTCCCCAGGTCTCTCCAGCCTCCCACAGGTCTCTCCAGCCCTCCCCAGGTCTCTCCAGCCCTCCCCAGGTCTCCAGCCCTCCCCAGGTCTCTCCAGCCTCCCACAGGTCTCTCCAGCCCTCCCCAGGTCTCTCCAGCCCTCCCCAGGTCTCTCCAGCCCTCCCCAGGTCTCTCCAGCCCTCCCCAGGTCTCTCCAGCCCTCCCCAGGTCTCCAGCCCTCCCCAGGTCTCTCCAGCCCTCCCCAGGTCTCTCCAGCCCTCCCCAGGTCTCTCCAGCCCTCCCCAGGTCTCTCCAGCCCTCCCCAGGTCTCTCCAGCCCTCCCCAGGTCTCTCCAGCCCTCCCCAGGTCTCTCCAGCCCTCCCCAGGTCTCTCCAGCCCTCCCCAGGTCTCTCCAGCCTCCCACAGGTCTCTCCAGCCCTCCCCAGGTCTCTCCAGCCCTCCCCAGGTCTCTCCAGCCCTCCCCAGGTCTCTCCAGCCCTCCCCAGGTCTCTCCAGCCCTCCCCAGGTCTCTCCAGCCCTCCCCAGGTCTCTCCAGCCCTCCCCAGGTCTCTCCAGCCTCCCACAGGTCTCTCCAGCCTCCCACAGGTCTCTCCAGCCTCCCACAGGTCTCTCCAGCCCTCCCCAGGTCTCTCCAGCCCTCCCCAGGTCTCACCAGCCCTCCCCAGGTCTCTCCAGCCCTCCCCAGGTCTCTCCAGCCCTCTCCAGGTCTCTCCAGCCCTCCCCAGGTCTCTCCAGCCTCCCACAGGTCTCTCCAGCCCTCCCCAGGTCTCTCCAGCCCTCCCCAGGTCTCTCCAGCCCTCCCCAGGTCTCTCCAGCCCTCCCCAGGTCTCTCCAGCCCTCCCCAGGTCTCTCCAGCCTCCCACAGGTCTCTCCAGCCCTCCCCAGGTCTCTCCAGCCCTCCCCAGGTCTCTCCAGCCCTCCCCAGGTCTCTCCAGCCCTCCCCAGGTCTCTCCAGCCCTCCCCAGGTCTCTCCAGCCCTCCCCAGGTCTCTCCAGCCCTCCCGAGGTCTCTCCAGCCTCCCACAGGTCTCTCCAGCCCTCCCCAGGTCTCTCCAGCCCTCCCCAGGTCTCTCCAGCCCTCCCCAGGTCTCTCCAGCCCTCCCCAGGTCTCTCCAGCCCTCCCCAGGTCTCTCCAGCCCTCCCCAGGTCTCTCCAGCCCTCCCCAGGTCTCTCCAGCCCTCCCCAGGTCTCTCCAGCCCTCCCCAGGTCTCTCCAGCCCTCCCCAGGTCTCTCCAGCCTCCCACAGGTCTCTCCAGCCCTCCCCAGGTCTCTCCAGCCCTCCCCAGTCTCTCCAGCCCTCCCCAGGTCTCTCCAGCCCTCCCCAGGTCTCTCCAGCCCTCCCCAGGTCTCTCCAGCCCTCCCCAGGTCTCTCCAGCCTCCCACAGGTCTGTCCAGCCCTCCCCAGGTCTCTCCAGCCCTCCCCAGGTCTCTCCAGCCTCCCACAGGTCTCTCCAGCCCTCCCCAGGTCTCCAGCCCTCCCCAGGTCTCTCCAGCCCTCCCCAGGTCTCTCCAGCCTCCCACAGGTCTCTCCAGCCCTCCCACAGGTCTCTCCAGCCCTCCCCAGGTCTCCAGCCCTCCCCAGGTCTCTCCAGCCCTCCCCAGGTCTCTCCAGCCTCCCACAGGTCTCTCCAGCCTCCCACAGGTCTCTCCAGCCTCCCACAGGTCTCTCCAGCCTCCCACAGGTCTCTCCAGCCTCCCACAGGTCTCTCCAGCCTCCCACAGCTCTCTCCAGCCTCCCACAGGGCTCTCCAGCCCTCCCCAGGTCTCTCCAGCCCTCCCCAGGTCTCTCCTTCACTAGCCCTTCTTATATATTACACTTACTTTTCATTTTGATTTTTATTCACACAAAAAATAGACTTACTGTTATGCAGACTACTGCGATCTTATAATTGTATAAATAATGTCAGTGCATTCCTAATTGCATATTAGACTGGCCAGTTGGATGCATATTGGACAAGTGACATCATTTGTGTACTCTGGAATATTGGCAAAAATCAAACGTTTCCACTAATTTGAGCTCAATTTCAAGCTACTTCCAGTCCCCAAACCAGTCAAAATCATGTCTATTTTTGTAATACATCTTCCGTTCTATCAAATGAGACCAAGAAACGGAGAATACATCCATAAAAACCATACAAAAATACACCACAAACTACAAACACGGTCACAGGTTTTTCCTGATTATGCACTGCATGGGGCAGGTTTTTTTTATACGTTCTACACTTACCACATAGACCCATTCTATCTTACCTAGGCCCAGATTTACTGCTCACAGCTTATCTAAGTGAGCTAAGCTCATGGCGTTATACTATGGGACCAACGCTGGCTTCAGAGCCGTGATACAGTGGCCATAACAATTTCATTGCAAAGATTTATATTAGTGGCTAGTTTATTGTGCACCTCATATCCATCCTGTGGATGGTAGTGGTTAGTTTACTGTGCACTTTATATCCAATCCTGATGCCTCTGTTGTTGCAGGGATCGAGCCACAGCTTCTGGACCCGCCTCTCCCTGCTTCCACAGCCTTGTTAAAATCATTTCCTATAGTCAGGGTGGTATTTCCCTATAATTATGGTGGTGTGGGTGTGAACTGGGTGTTCATTCACCAGGTGTCATGTATCCCACTGAGGCAGGGCATACCTGGAGAGGGTTTCAGGGGTCAATGCAACTGCAGCATGATCTGTGACCAGGCCTCATAGTGGATCAGAGCCTGATCAACCAGGCTTGCTACTGTTGGCTGCACATAAACTGATGTACGAGCCAAAGTTGACCATATAAAAAGGGCAATGAAAGCTTCTCTTTTTGAATTTAATAATTTATACAGGAGAAGGGGTTACTAGCCCCTTGCTCCTGGCATTTTAGTTGCCTCTTATGACATGCATGGCTTATACAGGAAGAATTCTGTTCCACTTCCTCCCTGGAGATTAGAGGAAGTAGAGAGGAACAAGAACCATTGAGAAAATAGAAGAAAACCCAGATGGATACTCACCTAATTGTGGTTGCAGAGTTTGAGTCCCAGCTCCTGGCCCTGCCTCTTTACTTGTCAGTGTGCATATTTCACACTCACTTGGCAGGACGGTAGTACCTCCCTGGGCAATTGCTGTCATGAACTGTTATCTTATGTAATTGAGACTTATAGAGGGATAGTAACATATAATAAGGGATATTAACATTTATAATAAGTTATATTATTTTCTGTAATTAACAGTCATATTATCTCCTATAGTTAAGAGTTACAGAGAGATACTACCATTGTTATAGGTGCTATGAAAGTATCTTATTCTGTGTGCGGCACCCCCATGCAGGTTTGTTGTTACAACGGCACTACGCCAACGACCAACGGCACGCTACGCAACGGCCTCATCCCCATAGCCAGCCCGGAGATGTGCTTCTACTGTTTTGATGTGCTGTATAGCCACCTGCACAATGTTGAGCCACCGAGCACCCCGGACTTCACCAACGAGCCCTTGTGAGTTTGATAAAAAATGTATATACCTGGAGGGAGCTTTGGGGATCAATGCCCCCATGGCCTGGTCTGTGATCTTGAAAGGGGTGGAGGGTGTGCTGGCGGAATGCCTCGGTCAGGTGACTGAAAGCTCCAGCAGTGGGTCATTTCTGCAAGTACGTGTACAAGGTGTACATGCCTAGCTGACATCAATGACATGCTGTATAGAAAGTCCCTGGTTATGCAGACCATAGCTGACATCCATGACATACCGTATAGTAAGTCCTTGGTTATGCAGACCATAGCGGACATCCATGACATACCGTATAGAAAGTCCCTGGTTATGGAGACCATAGCTGACACCCATGACATATCGTATAGCAAGTCTCTGGTTATGCAGACCATAGCTGACATCAGTGACATACCGTATAGAAAGTCCCTGGTTATACAGACCATAGTTGACATCCATGACATACCGTATAGTAAGTCCCTGGTTATGCATACCATAGTTGTCATCAGTGACATACCATATAGAAAGTCCCTGGTTATGCAGACCATAACTGACATCCATGACATACCATATAGTAAGTCTCTGGTTATGCATACCATAGCTGACATCAGTGACATAGCATATAGAAAGTCCCTGGTTATGCAGACGATAGCTGACATCAGTGGCATACCATATAGAAAGTCCCTGGTTATGCAGACCATATCTGACATCAGTGACATACCGTATAGTAAGTCCTTTGTTATACAGACCATAGCTGACATCCATGACAGAGCATGACTAAGATCCGCATCAAGAAATACTTGTCCTTTTTCCTGGTAAATCATGTCTAACCTAACGTTTTCCTAACCTTGTCAGTAGTGTTAGTGGTTTTGGTTAATTTTAAGCCTTGTATATTTTGGTTTTGCAGTCAGTTCTCTTAGAAATGTCTTTTATGCAGTCAGTTCTAGTTCTAGATTGTGCTGTGAATATTGGCTTTTTTAAAGGTTTGTACTCTAATAACCAGTGTTTTTAAGGTTTGTACTCTAAAGTCCAGTGTTTTTTTCAGTCCTCTGTTTGTGACCTGGAAGGTCGGTAAGGACAAGCGGCTACGAGGCTGTATGGGTACGTTTAGCCATATTAATCTCCACGCCGGACTCAGAGAGTACGCAGCCACCAGGTAATAACCACAGGTGTACTCTTGAGAGTACACAGCTAGAAGGTAATCAGGTGTACTCTGAGAGTGCACAGCTGTCAGATAACAACTAGTGTACTCTGAGAGTACTGCCTGAAATGTAACATGATAAAGCTCCACACAGAGTGAATGTTAGTATTGTATACATCATGTATAGGTTAATATACATCATGTATAGATCAGTATACATCATGTATAGGTTCAAAATATACATCATGTATTCCCTGAATACAGAAGTGTATATTACATAACCTTGTTACAGTTTCTGTCTCTCTTAGTGCGTTTAAGGACTCGCGGTTCCAGCCAATCGGAAGAGAGGAATTACCGCGGCTTGGGGTATCTGTCTCCATCCTCCGGCACTTTGAAGATGGTCGGGACTATAGGGATTGGGATATAGGAGTCCATGGGATCAGGATTGAGTTCCTGAATGAGAGAGGAGCCAAGAGGACAGCTACCTACTTGCCGGAAGTTGCTCCCGAGCAAGGTAAGTGGCGTGCGTGGGTACTGGGTTGGTAAGTGGCATTTGTGGGTAAGTGGCACACACAAAATCTCCTCTAACCCTTCCCTCCATCCTTTCCTAGGATGACCGCTACCCCTCCATTCCTTCACTCAGATTTATACACCTTCTTAGTCATCCTGTTTTGCTTCATCCTCTCTAAATGACCAAACCACCTCAACAACCCCTCTTCAGCCCTATGGATAATACTTTTAGTAACCCCACACTTCCTCCTAATCTCCAAGGTATGAATTCTCTGTATAACATTTACACCACACATTGCCCTCAGACACTGCATCTCCACTGCCTCCAGCCTCTTCCTCCTCCACTGCCTCCAGCCTCTTCTTCCTTCACTGCCTCCAGCCTTTTCCTCCTCCACTGCCTCCAGCCTCTTCCTCCTTCACTGCCTCTAGCATTTTCCTCCTCTACTGCTTCCAGCCTCTTCCTCATCCGCTGCCTCCAACCTCTTCCTCCACTGCCTCCAGTCTCCTCCTCCATTGCCTCCAGTCTCCTCTTCAAATGCCTCCAGCCGCCTCCTCATTGCAGCATTCTTTTACTCATCCTAAAGCCTCATTGCTCATCTGCAATCCTGTTCTCCATCTTACTCTTAATTCTTTCAATAATAACTCTACCATACACTTTACCAGGTATACTCAACAGTCTTATTTCCTTATAATTCTTACACTCTTTTGTTCCCTTTGCCTTTATACTAGGGAACTATGCATGCTCTCTGCCAATCCCTAGAAACCTTACCCTCTTCCATTCATTTATTAAATAAAAGCACTAACCACTCCAAAATTATATCCCTACCTGCTTTAAACATTTCTGTCTTGATCCCATCAATCGCAGCTGCTTTACCCCCTTTCATTCTACCCTCTGCCTTGTGCATGTCCCCTACATTCACACAGTTTCGTGTGCCTCCCCCACACTCACATCTGGCTCTTCCTTACTTTTAAAAATGTTACATCTCCCTGGTCAATGCATAAAATTACTGCCTCCCTATCTTCATCAAAATTTAACTCTTTCAGGGTCCAGAACCCCAATCTGAAACTTGTCCACAGGACCCAAGAATTTTTAAAAAAAAATTTTGGTTATTTTTTTCTTTTGAAATGGTAAAGAATCTTTTTCTGAAGGTAATAAAACAAAAAGTACAAAATTTGATGGAAAATTGATGAAATTACGCTATCATGAATTTTGTTGTGTCAGCGATATTTACACATTGGCGATTTTGTCCAATTTGACTCCTATTTTAGGCCAATTATATTGTTCCAGTCTAACAAATTCTTAGCTATTTTGCAAGTATGTGTTCCATTTTATCAATTGAGCACAAGAAACTGCCCAATCAACTATTTCAGCTACCCAATAAAGCGATCAGAAATTGGTAATTTGGCTAATTTCACACAAATTTCCATATACAGTGGACCCCCGGTTAATGATATTTTTTCATTCCAGAAGTATGTTCAGGTGCCAGTACTGACCGAATTTGTTCCCATAAGGAATATTGTGAAGTAGATTAGTCCATTTCAGACCCCCAAACATACACGTACAAACGCACTTACATAAATACACTTACATAATTGGTCGCATTGGGAGGTGATCGTTAAACGGGGGTCCACTGTATTCCCATTTCAAAATAGGGCCCAGAATAAACAATGCCGGCATTCCTGGCACTAAAATAACGTTTCCTCTGTTCATTAGGTACGTTTCCAGGATTTACACGTGAATTCTTTTTTTATTTTTTATTCACACCAAAATATAGAAGATTTATTTTTATGCAGTTTTGTAATAATTGTATAAATAATGCAGGAACCATTGTGAATGTATGTAAGACCCACCAGTCGACCTGTATCAGACGAGTGATGTGATATGTTTACTCTGAATATCGGCAAAAATTGAACATTTCCGTTACTTGGAGCTCAATTTCAAGCTACTCAGCCCTAAAACCAGTCAAAATCATCTGTATTTTTATAGTATATCTTCCATTCTATCAAATGAGATAAAAAAAAACCATGAATGAAACCATAGAAACCATAGGAAAATACATAGCAAAATCACTGTTTTAAGCCAAAAACACAGTCACAGTTAATTCTCATTATGCACTGCATGCTTCAGGATTTTTTTTTATATGGTGCACATGTACCACATAGATCCATTCTCTCATATCTAGGCCCAGAATTACCCTGACAGCTTATCTGAGCCGAGCTCATGATGTAGTACTACAGTACTGACCCTCAAGTGCTCGTGACATAGTACAGTGGACCCCCGGTTAACGAACTTTTTTCATTCCAGTAGTATGTTCAGGTGCCAGTACTGACCGAATTTGTTCCCATAAGGAATATTGTGAAGTAGATTAGTCCATTTCAGACCCCCAAACATACACGTACAAACGCACTTACATAAATACACTTACATAATTGGTCGCATTTGGAGGTGATCGTTATGCGGGGGTCCACTGTACTACAACACTGACCCTCAAGTGCTTAACATTTCCTCAAAATATTCCCTTCATGGTTTCTTGGTCTTATTTGATAGACTGGAAGATATATTACAGAAATAGAGATGATTTTGACTGGTTTTAGGACTGAAAGAAGCTTAAAATTGAGCTCAAAGTAGCAAAAATGTTCAATTTTTGCTGATGTTCAAGAGTAAACAGATCACATCACATGTCCAGTACACGTCAACTGGTAAGTCTTATGTGTGTTCACAAATACACTGATATTATTTATTCAATTATTACAATATTGTGTAACAGTAAATACTTTTTTTTAGTGTGAATAAAAAATCAAAATGGAATTCATGTGTAAAACCTGGGAACATAACTAATGAACAGAGGAAATGTTATTTTAAGAGCCAGGAATGCCAACATTGTTTATTCTGGACCCTATTTTGAAACTGGAATATTTTGAAATTTGTGTGAAATTAGCCAAATTACAAATTTCTGATCACATTATTTGGTAGTTGATTGAGCAGTTTCTTGTGCTCAATGAAAATGAAATGAAAAATGTAAATGTTTATTTCCTTGCAAAGCTTACAACGTGTGGCTTACATGTTCTAAAATATTAATTACAAAGAAGGTCACTGGCAGGCCTAGGCATTTTGATAAAATGGAAGACTTTTTAGTGAAATAGCTAAGAATTCAGTCAGTTGGAACAATGCATTTGGCCTAAAATAGGAGTCAAAGTGGGCAAAATCGCCATTACACAAATATCGTTGACACGGCAAAATTCATGAGTGTAATATCGTCGATTTTCCATCAAATTTCACATTTTTTGTTTTATTACCTTCAGAGAGATTCTCTGCCATTTCATAGGAAAAAAAAATTTGTTTTTTGAAAGTTCATGGATCCTGTGGACAAGTTTCAGATTGGGGGTCAGGACCCTGAAAGGTTAATAATGGCCCCAAAGCACAATAGTAGTGATGGTCACAATTGTTCAAAGCCTAAGAGAAACTGTAAACTGCTTCCCATCAGTAAAAAAGTGATAATTCTCCACATATTGAGCATAATTTATCAATTACACTTTAACACATGTTTACCTGGAGTTTACCTGGAGAGAGTTCCAGGGGTCAATGCCCCCACAGCCCGGTCTGTGACCAGGCCTCATGGTGGATCAGGGCCTGATCGACCAGGCTATTTCTGCTGGCTGCACGCAATCCAATGTATGAACCACAGCCTGGCTGGTCAGGTACCAACTTTATATATCTTTCTTCTTTCTTTCAACACACCGGCAGTATCCCACCGAGGCGGGGTGGCCCAAAAGGAAAAACGAAAGTTTCTCCTTTTACATTTAGTAATATATACAGGAGAAGGGGTTACTAGCCCCTTGCTCCCGGCATTTTAGTCGCCTCTTACAACACGCATGGCTTACGGAGGAAGAATTCTGTTCCACTTCCCCATGGAGACAAGAGGAAATAACAAGAATAAGAACTAGAAAGAAAATAGAAGAAAACCCAGAGGGGTGTGTATATATGTGCTTGTACATGTATGTGTAGTGTGACCTAAGTGTAAGTAGAAGTAGCAAGATGTACCTGAAATCTTGCATGTTTATGAGACAGAAAAAGGACACCAGCAATCCTACCATCACGTAAAACAATTACAGGTTTCCATTTTACACTCACTTGGCAGGACGGTAGTACCTCCCTGGGCAGTTCCTGTCTACCAACCTACTACCTAGGATATGGTGGAATGATGAAGTAAAGGGTGTGATAAAAGAGAAAAAGTTAGCTTATGAGAGGTTTTTACAAGGCAGAAGTGTTATAAGAAAAGTAGAGTATATGGAGAGTAAAAGAAAGGAGTAGAGAGTGGTGAGAGAGTGCAAAAGGAGAGCAGATGATAGAGTGGGAGAGGCACTGTCAAGAAATTTTAATGAAAATAAGAAAAAATTTTGGAGTTAAACAAGTTAAGAAAGCCTAGGGAATGTATGGATTTGTTAGTTAAAAACAGAGTAGGGGAGTTAGTAGATGGGGAGGTGGAGGTTTTGGGTAGATGGCGAGAATATTTTGAGGAACTTTTAAATGTTGAGGAAGAAAGGGAGGTGGTAATTTCATGCACTGGCCAAGGAGGTATACCATCTTTTAAGAGTGAAGAAGAGCAGAATGTGAGTGTGGGGAGGTACGTGAGGCATTACGTAGAATGAAAGGGGGTAAAGCAGCTGGAACTGATGGGATCATGACAGAAATGTTAAAAGCAGGGGGGATATAGTGTTGGAGTGGTTGGTACTTTTGTTTAATAAATGTATGAAAGAGGGGAAGGTACCTAGGGATTGGCGGAGAGCATGTATAGTCCCTTTATATAAAGGGAAGGGGGACAAAAGAGATTGTAAAAATTATAGAGGAATAAGTTTACCGAGTATACCAGGAAAAGTGTATGGTAGGGTTATTATTGAAAGAATTAGAGGTAAGGCAGAATGTAGGATTGTGGATGAGCAAGGAGGTTTTAGAGTGGGTAGGGGATGTATAGATCAAGTGTTTACATTGAAGCATATATGTGA